AAATGATGAGTATAATGAGAATTAGATATAATGCTATTTCTTTGACACATATAAAATGTAAATCATTCGAAATTATAAAAGAATATATATATGTTGAATAGTTGGATAAATTTTCATCATTTCAATTGCTTTTGTTGAGTTGTACCTCAACTTATATCTTATGTCAACAATTAATTAATTTTTAAAACTTAAAAATTTTATTGATTTATTAGATATAGAATTTGATATACTTGGGTAATCTAAAACCAAATTTATTCAATAAGTTTCATTAATCTGTCATATATTTTATGTTAAAAATATATATATTTTTGACTAAAAAGTTTTCGAGTGGTACATTTAATTAAAATATTTTTCAAGCTAATTTAGTTTTGTCCAACTTAGTATTTCAAAAGTTAACTATATTGATTAATGTTATTTTTAATCAAATTTGGGGGCCAAATTTCTATTAAGTGGGGGAGAAATGAAATCATCGATAATTTTTTTCCTTAACATAAATTAATTACTATAAATGATATATTACTTTATTATTAAATTCTATATTTGTATATTATAGTTAAGGAAATGATTAGATTTGGTTTCCTTAATCATATAGATAAGTTAGAAATTCTACTAATCAATTAAATTATTAATTGATTTATTTCCTAATGAGTGATTTGATATTTAGGAAGTAAATAGTTTACATTCCATTTTTGTGTGTGAACTATAAGAAATAAATATTATATTATTTTTTTGTGTGTGAAAGCAAATGTAAAATAAATTAAAAATAAAAATTAAATTATTATTTACCTTTCGGGGAGATCTCATCTTCTCCTATATAAAGGGACTATTCATCCCTCATTCTTTACTAGGCCTAACAATAGAAAGATTGAGGAGATGACTTTCTGGGGAGATGATATCATGGAAGGGATAATCGAAAAAAGATAAGATCCTTTCTTTTTAATTAGTTTTGATTTGTGTTTTGAAATCTTGACATTGAGATTGACAATTTTATAATGAATAATAATGTTTTAATTTCGAAATTTCATGATTTTTGAATAATAATAATTGATTTGTGATGTTAGACTAATTATTTGATTTGTATTGATCTTTTAAGCTTAAGTGAATTTTAATATTGATTTAATTATTAAAATTCTTATTTAGTATAATAGTTCTAATTTATTTAATTAGTTATATCTATATTTCAAGAATTATGTGTGACTTTCTGTAATGTAATTAGTTTTAAATTTTTAGATCATTAATTTAAAGATTTAATTAATGTATTTAAATAATTCTTTAATAATTTTAAATATTAAAATCTAATTTGATAAGAGGAGTCTAATTGGGGTCTGACTTGAGTCAAGTTGATCGATCAGATCGAATCGACTCAGACCATGTGATCATGTACAACCTAGCTTATGTGACTAAGTACAACCTAACCCATGCGGTCAGGCATGACCCAACCCATGTGGCTAGGTACGATCTAATCCATATGGCCATGTATGACCCAGCCCATGCGGTAAGGTACGACTCAACCATGTGGTTAGGCATGGACCAGCTCATGTGGCTAGAAACAATCCAGTCTATGTGACCATGTATAACCCAACTCATATGGTAAGGTACGACTCAACTATATGGCTAAGCATGGGCCAGCTTATGTGGCTAGGTACAACTCAGTCTAGGTGGTCAGATACGACCCCAACTCATGTGTCTATGATCAATTCGTGAGCCAAGCATGGCTTAGTTCAATGGTAAGGCCCAGCCCAACTTATAAGTGAGGCTTAGCCTAGTCCATGAAGTTAAGCCTGCCCAGCTACGCGATTGATATTAGACATATCATCGCTCCTTTTATATAGCCCGTCGTACCTCAACTCAACCTAGTATTTGGAACAAGTATATGCAATGTATATGACCCGCCCAAGACTCAGGTGGGTTGGTTCGATTTGGGTTAGTACTATACGACATAGTCCAATCTCCTTCTCTATTGGTTTGAGCTCATTAATTGACGAAATCAAACAGGTTTGATCAGTTAAAGCTGATTTAGGGTGATTCCAAACTAACTTGACTGGTTCAAACCTATTTGACCTAATCGAGATCAATCAAATCTAAATTAGACCGGTTTAGGGTGATTCCAGACTGGTTCCATAAGGATTTGTTATCGGTTCCGTTAGATCATAATCGAATTGAGTTTGGTTTAAGTCAATTGAACTATTCCAATTAGGGTTTTGATTGATTGAGGACTATTAAGATATTGATATTTAATGCTTTTATGATATGATGAATTTAAAGGTTTTATCTGAAGATGTCATTTGAAAATGATTATTGGTTTTCTATGTTTATGATATTGATATGATAAGTATCATGTAGTAGATGTGACTAGACTAGTAGTTCACATTGGGAGTGCAACCTGTGAAATGAGCTACGGGCCCATCATAGTGCGGAGCCACCAATGAATATAGTCTAGTAGATTTACATCAAGTATAGTCTCTCATAATATTTAATCATATTGATTTCTTGATGTATACATGAGTGATTGAATGAGTGTAAATGAATGATCATGGATGTTTATGTATCCCTGCCGAGGGCAGGTATGGCGATTCCCTTCGGGGATTAGCGGGCCGTCAGACGTGATGGTTAGACGGTTCCTCCATCCGTTGTTGGGAGGAACGTGTCCCCACTTGGGCGGGTGAGGGATACCACGTCATCCGCTGTTGGGAGTGCGATATGGATTATCTCCATCCGCTGTTGGGAGGAATCCATCCCGTGGAATATGCCTCTCCATCCGCTGTTGGGAGAGCGCACCATTGGGTGATGTACGCCTTTGTTATTATGTATGTGTTGTATGTGGCTGATGCATGATTTTGTTTATTATGCAAGAAATTATCATCATTTTTCTGATGCATAAGTTTTATGATGAATAGATATATTTTCATATTGAATTATTGATATTTGTTTATATTTCATGAATATTGAAGATTATTTTTATGACTTTTCTGAGGTTCCTACCAGCATGTGTGGTTGCCGATGTGTTTTTATTTTATATTTATTTTCAGAGTAATCGACTATTGTGTAATAGATCTGAAGCTTGGGTGGAAGAGACTTGTGACCCTGTGAATAAGATGTCATTTTTCTAGCTAATAGAATATCTACTACTGTAAAGACAATAATTTGAATTCAAAGACGAATGAAAAGAAAAGGAGAAAGTTTATTATGTAAATTATGGATAATAAATTACTGATTTATTATTCTTTTTATAAATTCGGGATGTGACAAGAAAAAACAACATGGTAGGCAATGAAGCATAATCTGCTAGAGGGAAAGCCTATCCTTCTTTTGGTTGCAGATGAAATGTACAGAAAAGAAAAGGACCATCTAGGCCTGCTCCTAACAGCTAAATTGCCAAGAAGAAAAATGCTCTTTATCCTTATTACTCAGTTTCCTTGTACATTTAATCTAACTCTTATGTACATATATGTCCAGATCAGAACAGCAAAGCCGATTGCTGTTGTAGTTAGCAAGGTTAAAGCAACAACACAATTCGTTTCCTGTCTCCAAGAAAAAGCCTAGTCAACACGCAATTAAAGCTGGAAAGTCCCTGATGAGTTCATCAATTGATGTGACCATGCCTGATGTTCAACAATACCTCAATTTAACTTTTTTTTTTATGATCACTCTTACATATCGTTGTTTCTCTAGAAGCTGTCATCACTACAAATCATGAACAGATGAACATCCTTGCAACCCATTCACAGATCAACCCTTTTATTTTTCCAGGTGCAAAGCAGGAAAATAGACTCCAGAGCAGACGAAAAACGAAACTTCTATACCCATTAACGCCGGTCATTTTACCAAACAGATGCCCTCCAAGAGCACCGAAGAATCACGAGACTAAAGATGGGGAGATAGAAGGATAAAGAGAAGACCTGAGGGATCTCGATGTCCGCAGGCTTCGTGAGCCCGAGAGTGGCGAGAGCCGCGGTGGCGGCGACGGCGGAGTGACCCATGCGGCCGAGTTAGAAAAAGGAGCGTGGGAGAGAGGGGACGGAAAGAGAAGCGGCGAGACGACCGCAGTGGCCGGACCGTCGATGCGCGATTTATTGATAGGATGGGTTCGCCATTCGAGATCGAATCGTTGGATCCATTAGCCGCACCCGTCTCTCCTCCCTCTTAGAAGGACTTGTAGTAGAACAATTAATTAGGAGATTTTGTCTCCTTCGTAATGTGCGGTTTGTATTCTATTGCAATGATTCATCCAATTCTCCAAATTAGTGAACAAGCAATAAAAGACGAACAAACAAAGATAAAGATAAGCTTAACAAAAAGCTGCTGTAGTCGTTTCCCAATAAATGCCAATGTGAGAGGAACCTTTTTTTCTGAAATTTTGTTTTTTATTAGATATTTTTAAAGTAATATATAACAATTAATAAAATCGTCCTGTACTGAGTAGGATGGGGGTGGAAAGTATAATATCCAAAGTCTTTTCTTTAAAGTGTGTTTGGTGGTTATAATTTTTACAATTTCAAGGTCTAAAAGCAACAGCATTGGGAACAAAAAGTGAAAAAGTTGGTTTTAATAAAAATATAAATTGTATTTGTATATTATATATTTAAAAATATAAAATATTTATAATTTTGATATATATATATATATATATATTATTGAGAAATCACGGATCGGCATCTCAGTGAAAAACAAAAACAAAACCAAGTAATTGATTGTTGTGTTATGATTGGTGTATAAAAAAATCGCACGTATCATGTTATAAGTGTTACTAAAGAGATTGTATATTTGTAATATTTTCAAATTCCGATGGAGAGGATGAAGGAGAACTCGCATACTCCTCTCTAGCGATGATCCACACAACAAACATAACGACAACGCTTCTCAGATCGCTACGGGATCTCTCTCTCCACGCACACCACATGGCTACCGGAGCTAATGAGGAGGAGAAGAGGCTGAGGAGAATAGGAGGGGCGACCACCAAAAGTTTTAGCCTATCAACAATGAGGTTCATCATATTTATAGAGGTGCAAGCAACTTAATCCTTAATGGATACTATCATCATTGGATATTGGATCTCTATCCAATTAGATCTTATTCACAGGATCCAAATTAGGGACTTCGCGAATATCTTATATTCACACCTCTACTCATCGCAATATCCACCATGTGTGTGTGACCTTCTAAGCCCGATACCAAGCTGACCGTGAATCGATCCTATCAAAACTCCTTCTGACTCAGAACTCCTAATATAATGAATTATTATATGTATAATAATTCACTTGACTCATTGACTATGTACACACTAGACCACTATGCCATAATACCCAAACGATACAGGGGATCTAATCCATCAAACATGTTTGTCTTCAATTATCATGTATCAAATATCCCAAAGACCATATATTGGGCATGGTAATGTCAGACTCATATGAAATCTTATCTGAGTCTTGCTCTAATCGGATTCTCCCGGAGAACTCCTTTCCTCTCAATCCATAAAACCCTGGCTAGGGATTTTGTTTGAGCTAGCACACACAAGCTCGCGATACCGAGAGTGGATGATCCTCTGTTGACATTCAATTACCTTCGTAAGGTTGGTTGTCATTCCCAAGAACCGATTGTACTAAATTTGGAACTTCCAAACCTATATTTCCAACGTTAAAAAATGGAGTACTCATACAATACATCTTTAGCGTCTTAAGTTTAAGGACTAAACACACAACTAAGACTACGAAATCACTGTCTAACGTCAGGTATCATTAACTATCAAACATTCTATAAGTAGATCAATTAGTGAACTCATTCTCCAATGAGCACTTACACTGTACCTCTAGTAACCCCACATGAGCAACTATGAGACTAGCTATCTCCATCATATGGATGAGTATACAGTGCACCGATCTATCCGGTTATCTCGATGTTCTTCTCGAGTAACCTATGACCGAGATGATTTAGGGTCTGTATTTAAAGGCGAATTAGCCTCAGTATCATGATATCGATCTGATTCTCATTGTACAGATCTAAGAACATCATAATATACTAAATAATATATGATAAAATATAAATAATAATAAGTAAAGAGATCGTTATAGCGTGTCACTGGTGATTAGTTTGTAGGACACCTATAACTAACATATATATCTTATTCTAAATATTTTATCCCTCTCAACATATATCTCTCTGTTACCCCTCTAAACAATCACTCTAGAAAGAAGATATTTACTATAATGATGATCGAGAGGGTTAATTACATATTATCTTATTATCCTATGTTGTTAGCTACGTTTAGTATTCAAGTCCCTATACTATAAAAAGCTATATTGATATTTTTATAATTATAAAAGTGAAATATCTAGGCTCATTTATTATAACGTCGTCGGTTTTACTAATGAAAATAAAAAATAAAAAAATAATTTTAATATTTTAGTTGGTAGTGATGGACGACAGCATTGTAGGGGCCATGATGACTTTTGTGAATGAGGAGAGCAGTAGCAAGAGGTAATGTTTATTCTGCATTTGCATTGACATTGATGTAATTGTCAAGCAACGAAAGGGCCACCACTGATACACAGACCGACCGAGTGGCCCTTTCGTCGCTCGATAACTATGTCAGCATTGATGCATATACAAAGTGGTGAAAAGATCACTCGGGAACTACGTCGGTGTCGACTAGATATAGAGCGACCCTCATCTCTCATCATTGCTCTTCTCATTCACAATAATCATCACCAACATCGTATATCATCCCAAATATTAAAATTATATTTTTATCTTTTATTTTTTATAATTTTATTAATAAAACGGATGGTTTTATGATAAATAGATTTAAATGTTTCACTTTTATAATTAGAATATCGATATAACTTTTTAAAATATAATGATCGAGATACTAAAACTAGCTATAACTATAGGGAATAATATGCAACTGGCTCGAACAGAAATATTTGCAAAATATGCAATAACACCATTTCCCTCCATCTGCGAATTTGGTTGCATAGAGTTGTGCTGCTGATGGCAAGCTTCAAAAGCTCTTCAATGTCAACTTCAATCCAAGTAGTTCATTCGGGCATCCAATTCACATATCATACATCCAAACGCAGAACACATGAGAACCGAGAGAATATGATACTGCACCTTTATTTTTGTTCTCAGATAGTTGCCCATCACTGCAGCTTGCTTGTAGCCATTGCAGATTAAGATTGTAATCAGTCTATGTTGAGAGTGAACAATAATGACAACTATTTTTATTATGCAAACCATTACTAATATTTAAAAAGAAATATATGTATATATATATGTAGTTTTTTTTTTTTTTTTCATTGTGCTCTTAGATACATATTCACCAGTTTAAAGTCCCCAATGGATCTACCAGCTAAGTCTGAAAGTTTTGGACAATGACAATCTCTCACCACCTTACCCACTAGCTTTCTCTATGTTCTCATGTGAGCCACACATGTACTTTTCATCTTCTCTGTGCGACTCCATTATTAACAATGGTTACTTCTAGACATTCAAATTTGTTTCCATTCTGAATAAGCTTTTAAATTACTTATCATTCTAAGAAAATTATAGTCTTGATAGATATATCTATCTGACTATCTCCTGACACCATTGTTTTAATTAGGACTTGTTTATATGGTCCTTACCAATCTTCAATTTTTCTCTCTGCAAAATTCTAATGCTATTGACTTGTTGGAAGTTGAGTGGTTGATTGAACTTAGAATGTTTCATATATATCCAGTAGTTAAGTTACAAAGGGCAGGTTTTTTGGTACAGTAACCTATGGACATATAATTTGTAGTTGAATTATATCTCAAATTCTTCACAGAAGTGATCCTCCAAAATAAGCTTTTAGTTTTCATATTGAACTTAAGTTCATAAAATTTCACACAAAAGATCATTGTCAGTTTTCCACCATACTGCATTGAGACAACAGCTTAGTCCATAACTTCACAGAAGTGTTTTGGGCTTTCTTCAATGGCTGGGGATATGTTGGCATATGTGATTGTACTCAACTACAGCTTTTCTGCACATACATCATTGCCTACTGTCTGTAATGAGTTGTTCTTAATTTCTTCCCTAAATTGTGGAACAAGAATGACTATTTCACTATATATTAAATAGTGATCAAAGCACAACCTTGCAGTGTTTTGAAGTTATTGGTCAAGCAGGTGCGGATGATCCAACATGGACATTGAATCAACAATGAATATGCTGTCAATAATTACACCAGAGGTTCACTAAATAGTGTTTCATGGGCCAAGTGAGTAGATTTCCAGCATACTGTGCATCTTCATGAACACAAACTTTCTCAATCATTTTTGGAGAGAGATTTGGGTGTGGCTACATCTTTCATAGGATTCATCTTGCATAGCTTAAAAAGATAACAAACGAAGGTATGTCTAAATGAAGTTTTCCATACAATCAGTTTATTTATTTGCATTCATGTTTCTGTCATTCACATTAACTTTTGTTGCAGATCAGGAACTGCCACCTCCATTATATTATGAATAGATTTGCTGTGTGTATAGTCAGTCATAGATGGCCTATATATACTTCTACAATTGCATCTGTTGTACATAACTATTCACCACTGCTACTGTGTCTAAGAGAAAGACAACATGACTGAGCAAGTTCAAGACAGTGGTTGATTCACTATGCTGCAAAAAACATGCACTAGTAATAATTATGATATCAAAATATGATATCTTTTTCTTATGTCCATGGATAAATAAACAAATTTTTTGAATAATAATATATAGAAAATTTTCTTTCAATTTAGTTAAATCTAATGTGAATGCCTCTTCTACAAGGAAAAGCACCAAATGTTTTTTTTTTCCTTGGCATACATCAAAATTTAAAAGTATATTGATGAGCTCAGATTTGGATTTTTCATCTTAGGTAAATGATCAAAGTAAACTTATTTTATTCCTTGTATGAAAAATATCACAAAATTTCAAAAAGACTAAGTTTATCCTTAAGTGAATATTGAAATGAGTCCTTTATATAGACTTATAAGAAAGAGAGAGGCACCATGAATGTGTCTAATAAGATCCTTCTATTATCCTTAAGTAAGATCAGACTAAATTACATCTGGGTAGAAAATAATATATATAAAAAAATAAAAATATTTTTATAGTATAAAAAGACATCTTTTATAGTGTCACTCTAACTAAAATCTTCTAAAATATATTTCGAATCCAAATAATTACTTAAAATATTTTTTAAAGTATCTATTATTTTTTCTACAAAGAGTAAATGATAAAAATGAGATTCAAGACCTTATAATAAACTATGAAAACTTTTATCATATACACAAAGTGATATATTTAAAAAATATATCGGATGAGATTTTGAATCATAATCTCGTATATTATCATCAAATTAATATTTAAAACATAAAATTTAAACTTAATTGACCCATACAGATTAAAAATACTATCCATCTTTTTCATTAAATAGGTGGAATGAGACATTGAGAACTCCAAACTCACAATTTAGAAGATGCTATGAAACCCAATCCCAGCTGCAAATTAAGTTGAGACACAAAAGACCCCCAAAGTCCATCAACTAAGGTTGAACACTGCACATTATACCCCACAAAAGGTCCTACTATCATTCTTTTCTAAGTAAAATTCTATGTATATATATATTTAAGGGTGATGAAACCCACTACTGTACTATATATATTTTTCTCTAGTAAGTGTAGCATAAAAAGGAGGAAAAGAAATGGGAGGCATCGATGCTCCCAAACTGCTCCAACAAAACTCCACAAAAACTAGCACAAACCACAGATCGGCCGTAAGTCCTTTTCGGGATCTTTTAGGTGTCATGACGCTATCACCGTATGAAGATGGAAATGGAGAGAGGGTCCACTTCATGATTTACTCATTCCTAATCATGCATTAATCATGCTCTTCTCACCTTCTTTATCATATCATTTCTTAAAGCTGATGTGCATTATGCTTTCTAAACCCGCATCGGCCGACAGGACCTGTAATCCATGTCGGATATCGGGCCAAAACCCCACACACATAAACCAAGCGAAGAACTGTATCTATCTGTTGGTGTCATGTTTCCATAGCCTTGAGAGTCACTGTGATCGAATAAAAGGAAGAAAAAGGATAAAGACTTTGGTTGAATAATCATTAATCCCAACGATTTAAATTATAAGTTCTATAATCCTAAACTTTAGATGTGAACGAAATTCATTGATAATTAAAGGATTTTGATTTAATCATTGATAATCTCATAATTATTAAATTGTTAGAAAAAAATTAACAAATTTATAATTTTCAATTAAAAAAAGAAGGTAAAATCAATGAGAGACTCTTCCTTGTATTTTGTGTTTGTGCTTAGCATTTTATTTGTTTTTGATCAAATTTATGTAAAAAATTCTTAGTCTTAAAAAATTTTAATATAATATTTTAATTTTTAAAAATTTATATAGAATAATAATTTTACCTCTACTGTCCTTACAATCGTCGACCACCATCGTCGCTATCGCTCTCCCCCCTCCCTCTAATTATACAAGACGAAGATAATGACTAATGAGATAGAAGTCGGGATAATATTATTAGTTAAAAAAATATAATTTTAAAAAATATATATATATATTTTTAGAAAATTGACTGTTGTCTTTTGCTTGAGAATAGATCAATAGGTGGTGAGTAGATGCTACAACCATGTCTCTCATAAGGCCTAATTTTGGATCCCACTAATAATAATATTTATATGTGTACTTTTATAATATTGGTGGTGGTTTTTATGGTTGCATTTGATATTTGTATCAAATCAAAACGTGCTATTTAGATTGACCGAATCGCCCTATAACTTTTCGAGGCATGATGTGGTTTCTCACTGACCCAATACATATGGGGCTCAAACATAAGCTTCGAGTGATACTAGGTTTTAGGATGACCCCAGTAAACCTAAATAACATCGCCATCTATTTTCCAAAGGGGATCTACTTGCACACACTCCTAAATAATGTAGTTGTGAAGAGAGATCTATATGTGTCTTTGGTTGTAATAATGCTATTTATTATTATATGAAGTTTTCGAAAATATAGTTATTTTTATTTTTCTCAAAAAAAATATCGCTCGTTGTGAAAATTGTTTAACAATACTTTTTTTCATTAATATTTAAAATATTTTTATTTGATAACTAATTATCTATCGATTTTTCTTTTCTTTCTCTCGTTTTTTTTATGGATCAGTTTATAATTATTATAATTATTAAAATAATATATTACAAAATTTTTGTATTGTGTTGCATTAATTTTACACTATATTATAGTATTAAAAATATTATAATATAATATAAAAACTGAACTGATTCATAAAAAAAAAGAAAAGATAGGTGGCTAAGTTATTCAAAGTATTAAGAAAAATGAGAATTTTCTCGAGAATCTTTTCAACTATATAAATGTGTGAAAATTCGAAGGAATTAAGGATAATTAACTTTCAAATAGTTTATGTTATCTCATGGCCTACATATCGACGTGGTCGTCACCCAATCTATCACATATCGTACGTCGACATTAATGGATGATTGAGATGTGATAAAAGAAAGAAATGTTGGAGCATAAATAACCAATCGAATTAGAGAGAGATTTGATGGATTCTTGAGGAGAAAGAGAAGGGATTGAGTTATTGATTAATAGATGATCAAAAGATCATCGGGATTTAAGAGTGAAATAAAATAAATATAAATAATATCAATAAACTTTTCAGCAATTTTGTTTAGAAAGTAAAATTATTTTTGAGAGATACATCAAAGAGTGTTGCTTATTTATTATAATTTCTAAATTATCTCATAACGAAATAATCAGAGTAGTACATACATACATACATACATACATATATATATATATATATATATATATATATATATATATATATATATATATATATATATATATATATATATATATATATAAGATTTAATATTATTGAATATACTTATAGTGTTTTTAATGTATCAATCAAAACGTTGTAAATCTCTTAAAAACATTATGACTTAAATAAATAAATATAAAACTCAATAAAAATCAACTCGTGTACAAAAATAGAGTTTCAAAATAAGAATTTACTTATTGGTTTAAAAATAAGAATAATAATCAAACAAAAAGATTTTAATGTTAGTTAGTATTTTTCTTATAATATTTTTGATACCTCTATTAAGCCTATTAAAAAAAGTTACTATTCACCATATCTTTTTTTACTATTAAAAATCTCTTTGATAAATTTTTAAAAAATAATAATACTATATTATTATTATTATTATTTTAGTTATCATTTTTATTTATTTATTTTTTCTTCTTCGTAATCATTTATTTTCGTTGTCTCATTAACGATCATCATCTCTACGCTTGTTGTCAATGTTATTCAATCGACCTAACTTATCATTTTATCAATGTCATCGGATATTAAAAATAAAAATATTTATGTTCATTAGTAAAAGAATAACTGAAAAATATTAAAAAATATATAAAAATATTATAACTAAAGATTTGGACCGATTTACTCTACCAATCTATTCATACGATGTATCGCATAGATTATATACTTTAGGGATTACAGCAAATGGGAGACGCATGAAAGAAAAAGAACTCACCATACATTAAATTTAGAGATAAATACTGAAATTTCTAACTTTACAGATGGATATATACGTAATTTCATCTTATGTCGACGGAGCAGTTGACGGCTATATGCGTACAAAAGTGGTAGTTACGTAAATACAATGAAACTGGGATGGCATTTGGGTAGTAACGACCTGATTCACGCGGCCGCGGAGGGCGCCAGTGACTGCCTCCCGACAATGCCACGGGCTACAGCCGGTGGCGCTGCCCCGTCTCCCGGTCACCCCGTTTTAAATTGTGGAACGCCCTCCACCCCCCCTCGCCGAGGAGGAGAAGTAGCAGGGCTCCGAAGGCCTGGATCGAAGTGGGTTCCTCCAGCGATCGGTTCGCGGCACGGGCTTTGATGCAGCAGGAGTGGTCGAGGTGACCCCTCGTCGGAGCTCCGGCTGTGGAGGGCTACCGTGAGTACACGGCGGTCTGTTTCGGCAGCGTCGGACGGAGTCCGTGCTCTCGCGAGGGTTCGTGCGGTGGTCGCGAAGTTCTGGTGAAGCTTACGGTGTCCTCGGTGTCGATTTCAAGTTTTGGTTCGTTACGGTAGGGGGTTTCTGCAAAAGAGTGATGATCTTGGGCTTTGGAAGTTGGATTGTGCCCCGTCCTTGCTTGATTTGGGTGGAAACGGTGGGGTTTTTCCTGTGCTCACCGAGATCTGTGGATAGGAAAGGAGGGGTGTTGTGAAAAGGTTGTTACTTTTTCGAGGAAAAGAGAGGATTTTTAGCTCGGGAAGTTGGACTGAGCCCCATCCCTGTTTGATTCGTTGGGCAAGGAGAGGTTTCCATGTCGGGGGCGCCCAAGGTGCGGTCCATGAATGTTGACGAACCGGAGGCGAAGCCGGTGCTCGGGCCTGCCGGGAACAAGGCTAGGTTGGTGGTTGCGGCTCGGAAGACTGGTTTGAAGTCCTCGAGGAAGGCGGAGAAAGTGGAGCCGGAGCTTTTAGATGAGAAGCAGTCTTCAACTTCTCTCGCCGATTCATCATCGCCGTCTCTTAATGCTGCTTCGGCGTTGAGAAGGCACGAACTACTTCTGCGGTCCAACTTGTCGCTTAATGCTTCATGCTGCTCGGATGCTTCTGTGGACTCATTCTGTAGCCGGGCGTCTACTGGGAGGATCGGAAGTTCAAGCTTCTTGAGGAGGCCGAGGCGGATCGTTTCAAAGCCAGAGAAGATTGGCGTGAGGCTGGAAAAGATGGTTCCTGATGGTACGACAATGCCGCCACCGGAGTACTTGGATGGGAAGAGGAGGTGCGCCTGGGTGACTCCAAATACTGGTGCGTTTCCTCGCCATCCGGTTGTGAATTTATGCTGCTGCTTGACATTTATGAATCTCATTTCACCTTATATGTTAATCATAGAATACATATTTTTGCTAATGTCCTCCCAACCTTAAAGGTTAAGCGGGGTAATGCATTTTGCTGAACAAAAATGAGAAGTCATTCTTCTTCTTTCTTCTTTCTTCTTATCAGATCTTCAATTTAATAGCTTTTGTCTATTTGTATCTGCAGACGTTCAGAACCTTGGTTAATGCAAAGGGTACTGTTGTAGTCCTATTGGGATTTAGTAATGCTTGTCCTTTTAGTTAGGTTGTTCATCATTTTTGTTAAATACCTTTCTCACAAATGGTAAAGATTTTGCTATAGATGCATACTTATAATTGCTTGAAAATGTTGGGTTACAGGCTCTTGAATGATTTTGTAAGCTCTTTTTCTTGGAATAGATTATGAGTGAAAACCTTCGATGCTGCAATAGTTCACTGAATATTTCAAACGCTTATTGTACCTTCATTTGTAATACCATTTTATTCCAACCAACAATTTTTTTCTGTCTTGAAGTTTTTGGATTTTTTCCAAGCTATTGTCAGATTGGAAACCTGTAGCAGCTAAGGCATGTACTGCATCAGTTTCAACACAGTTCTAATTTTTTTGGTGGTATACATTTAAATTTTGTTAAGATTCTCAGATTATAGAAGTGGTCTCATAGGTTAGGTGATGAAAAAATATTAAGGCTGGGTCCATGGGACCACGTTCATGAAATCAATATTTTCTTGTGTTAAAATAAGTTGTCCATCGAATCCAGTAGCTTGGTAAGCCTTATTGGGACCATAAGCATTACAGATTCTTCATGTTCTTTGTCATCTTATCCATGATTGTAGAGCACAATAAGTGTTTTCCATTTTTTCTTCCTACTTTCTGTCATTTTTTTCTTTATTGAAGTTGTTGCTCCTACTCATTTCTTTTATACATGAAACTTTTTTGATTCTATTGATCCCTTTCTTTACATGGAAAACAAATCATCTTGTCAAGTGAAAATGGAAAGCTTATTTATTTTTAGGAAGATCTCAGTTTTGATCACCAGATTGGTGGGTTATTTATTGATCACAGATGTTCTACACCTGAATCTAATTGTGACTGCATGCTTTCAAGTTATTTGTCGCTTATGGTTATTTTAAGTGTCTCACTGTATGTGAATTGGGAACAGAAGAGTCTTTCCTAGTTTTCTGTGTATTATACTGTGAAATTGTGCTCATATAACCTTCTTTGGTTGTGTATTCTCTCTTTTCCACTGAAATTATTCCCTTGATCATCCTTCAATTTCTTCTTTCAATTCTATCCTCCATGAATTGCACCTTGGTTCCTTGTCATTCCTTGGCGTTTTATGGCATGTAGGATTTTATTATCAATTTTGAGAATCTGGTCTGAACTCTGGATATTGTTTTGCTAGTCTTTACAAGTTATTGCAAATTATCCTATTTTTTATTTTTTGAAGATATATCTGCAGTTGGAGACTTCCTCCAAATTGGGTTGACCAACAAAAATATCATATACTTTATTTGTATTATAGATACTATTATGACATTAAATCCTGTGGCATTCACCATCCATCAAGCAATCTGATATCCTGTATGGAACATCATCCACTCTCATCATTCTAGTTGTATTTGCTATTTTGTTCATCCCCATTTTCTGCATACTTTTCAATATCTCGTGGTCCACTTGATCTTTATTGACCTCTTTATCCTTTTCTGAACATGGTTCTGATATTGTGGGTTGACAAAAAGGATTGACCACAATCAATAATATCAAGAAGTCAAAATTTACAGCTTGCTGGATTATGATTTTTTTTATTGGTTGGAAGATGCATATTATATCAAGTTTTATGTTAATGATAGTTGAGACTAAGTATCATTTCCAACATTAACCAAGGTAGTAATTATTTAAAATGATTAGAGTTTAAAGTATGTTAAAATGGTCAATGGATATTCTAATATCTTTATAATTACTAAAAGGGCATTCCACTGCTTAGGCTGTTACAAGCTGGGGTTTTAGGAGGATAAAGTATTTGAGCTTTGCCAAAACATGTAGAATTCCTGTTAGGTTGTTTGAATGTTTTACACTAGTGGTCGCAATGAAGCAACCTAACCATGGTGCTAAGACTCATCTAAGCAACCTATCTCTATGTCCTTTATGATTTGAATTTTCAATGCTAATTCATTTTTCGCGCTCTCTGCTCCTATTCTGAGAAAAAGATCTTCATTTATCTATTACAACAGATCCTTGTTATGCTGTTTTCCATGACGAAGAGTGGGGGGTACCAGTTCATGATGACAAGTATGCAATTTCATCCATCGTCTCGCTCTATTGTAAATTTGAGAAGTTTGCAGTGGTTTGGTATATAACTTTTCGAGGTCTGACAATCTGAAAATATTTACAGGAAACTATTTGAGTTGCTTTCATTGTCAGGTGCATTGGCTGAACATACTTGGCCTGCAATTCTGAGCAAGAGGCACCTTTTTAGGTAAATGTAACCTGTGACATGTCCCTACTTAATTATTAAAGAGTACACAACCTTAAAATATTATGGTATATGTTCAAGGGAGGTTTTCATGGATTTCGACCCAACATTGGTCTCCAAGCTCAATGAGAAAAAAATCATAGTCCCAGGAAGCACTGCAAACTCCTTATTGTCAGAGCCAAAATTGCGGGCCATCATTGAAAATGCACCCCAAGTAATAAAGGTCTCTCTCTCTCTCTCTCTCATGGTTCTATTTGGTGTATAGGGTTATCTCCTGCTCGTATATTTATATGATAGAAACTTCTGATTATTTCCGATAATTTCTTAGTATGTGATCTATATTTTCTTTGGATCTTTCTATATGTGCACTGATCATTGGAAGCTTTATGGGTATGGATTTCCTACTAATCTTGTCTCATGCATATTCGGGGAACTTTGTTTTTGTCTGTGCTATCCACTGAAAAGTTGTTGGTTGGTGTCATGCCATTATCATCAAGGGTGTCATGACTTTTGCTCTTTTGATGTAGATCATAGAGGAGTTCGGATCATTTGATAGATATTGTTGGAGCTTTGTGAACCACAAACCCATCTCGAGCAGATTCCGAAACTCACGTCAGGTCCCTGTAAAATCTGCTAAAGCAGATGCTATAAGCAAAGACCTGATGCGGAGGGGTTTAAGGAGTGTCGGTCCAACAGTCATCTATTCCTTCATGCAAGCCTCGGGTATAACCAATGATCACGTTGTAACCTGTTACAGATTCAAAGAATGTGCAGCTACTAACTTATCAACGGATGGGGGAGAAGGGAATTTGGTTAATGCTAATCATAAGGTGGAAGAGAATATAATTGGAAGCGAGGAGGCAGGTGGTGTTGATTTGGAATTGCCAACAGCAGCGGCGGACAGACTGAACATTTCATAGCGACTACAGGGAGGTCTGTGGGGGTTAATAATTTGTAACTTGATTCTGGAAGGTGGTTTTGTGCTTTCTCGAGGGAGAGAAGCCCTTGTGTATGATTATGCACTAACTTTATGCAATATGTTGGATGTAGAGTGTTTAAAATGCATTGTTGATTTGGTTAGATTTCCTCGGGTGTGCAGTGTTAACCCGGCTGGTGCAATTAACAATTCTGTGAAGAAGGTAGTTGGCTGTTTTTTTTTAATTTTTAATCTTTTGTTAGATGCAGTGTCAGAAGTAGGAGAAGTTGCAAATCAATCAATAGTTCAGTCTGTAAAATCAAACATTAGCTCACCTAATATATTCTTGATGCAGTTGGCTTGTTGCAATCTTCTTTGTCAACATATTCTTCTGGTAATTGGTGCTGAACAGATGGGGATTGCTGAGAGGATGCAGCTTGATTCTTCCAGAGTTAAAAAAGTATTTGTTAAGATTGATGATAAAGTGAGTCAGATTTGATCTTTGTGAAAAGACTGAAAGGTGATAACTTTGGCCATTTAGCAGGAAAAGAAGTTCATGAAACTTTGGTTACTCTGCTTTTGATTTCAATGCTCAAAGCAATCAAATCTGAAAAGGCATTGCAGACTGAGATCACAAAGACTGCTTTTTTGTTTGTGCAAAAGAAAGCACGGCACTTGGGGGGGGTGCCAATGCAGTAAGAGGAATTGCCCAAAAAAGCCTCCTCAATTTTTTATGTTTTAGGTTTTGGACTAAATGCAATCCCCTCCACTGGGAGCTAAACAACTCATCAAATAATAGATGAACAAAAGAATAATAATATTTTTTTATTCTTAAATAATAAAGCCAAATATGCATATAGTATAGTAATTTTTTTTAAAAAAAATCAAATTTAAAGAAAAATATACAGTAAAACAACAAATAAATTCATATTTAAGTCAATCAAGACATGTTACAAATGCAAATAAATCTTAAAATTAAAATCCCTATTTTTCAATAATAATAAGAATATTAATTTCAATACACAACAACTTTCACCCAACCTCTCTCTCTCTCTCTCTCTCTCTCTCTC